TTTGGAAAATATCAGCGTTTCGTGTTCGTTTTGACTTCGTGTGGACGGGGCCTTATTTTAACATAAGTGTATTAAGGCCCTATTTTTAGCTTTTGCAGGGGGTGATTTCCGAGTCTAAAAATTAGATTGTTATATTTAAAGATGTCATGTAGGGCTGAATCAATTCATCGGATTAATTGTGATTAATTGATTATTGAAATAATCGTAAACTAAGTTTGTAATCGATTAATCATTAACTGGAGTACAGGCTGTAAAACATGTCTTTAGCTGACAGAGCGACCCACTTGGAGCCGTAATTATAACAAAAAATGTGTAAATATTTAGCATTTAAGTTAAAAAATATATATTTTTCGTCTGTGAATATTCTCTATCCAGAACTCCTCAAGTGGAAAAGTTTTAGTTTTACCTGGTTAATTTCATAAAAAGTTTTCTTTAATGAACCTTTTGCTATCTGATTATTAACCAATTAATCAAAAAAAATGTTTTTAATTCAATTCAAGTCATCTCAAGGCACTTTACAGAGACATTTCAACTAGATCATTCTTTGAAATTAATTCAAAGTTTTCTATCTAAGGGAAACCAGTTGATTGTATCGACTCATTGACTGATGTAGTGACAGTGGAGAGGAAAAACCGCCTTTTAACAGGAGGAAACCTCCTGCAGAACCAAATAATTGACAACCTAATCAATATGCTAAAAAATCGTTGGTTGCAGCCCTAATTTCATGCAACGTAAACTATAAGCTCCAGTAAAAACTTTGATAACCTGGAAGGTGTTTTATTTAGGGGGAGTGGCAGCATAGGATGGTTGTGAGGAAAAGTGGCTTAAACAGTGATAAATCAGTGCTGGTACTTTAATCCTTAATATCATTTCACCCAGACTAAGAGAACTGCATGTCTAGAAAAAAATGTTGTTTCCGACCATCCATAAACATAGTATTTTGTAGCTTACAAAGCTGCAGCAAACTTTGATTGGGAACTTTTTGGTTTGGTTGGACTTCCCTTGAGCGTTTAGCTCAGAGATACTGAAGCTTGATCTGGCATTAAGCAAGTATTGAACTGTTAAACATTATGGAGGTATGATGCTGCTTGGCCTCTTTCTCTACCAAAGTTCCAGGGAACCTTTTTCAGAGAGCACAGAAATTCCTAGAAATAACAGGGAGTCTGCAGCCCTGACAAACAGGCCAAAAGATCCAAAATAATCTGGCTGCATTACACTGTATGTAAAATGGTTAAAGAAAATGGAAACATGTCTCCAAAGATCAAAGTGAAATCTTTATCGAACCAAAACAAAAGCGTGCTATATATGAAAAAAAAAACAAAAAACTGTTTTGATTATTATTCATAAAATATTTTTATAGGATTTTCCAAAATATTGGCCCCTGCTTTTGTTTATTCTTTTTCAATATGTAGCTTTGGATTATGCTCCAAGTCTAAGCTGCCAGATTTTGAGCATAATCCTTAGTTTTAAGCAGTGTTTCATCAAAATTTAGTGAAGCTGAACAAGTAGGGCACAAAAGAAGTTTGGGACCTGAAAAATGACATACACGGCAGCTAATCAGTGAGTAAAATGTGTAGTGTTATTCTTCAGTTAGCAAGATTTCCTACCAGAGGCTTCCTGGGAATCAGATTTTAATGCCCCTTATTGTCTTTATGCATTTCAGAGAATAAGTTATATAAATGGACAAAGCTTGTTTATTCTGTGATGGACTGATGCTAAGCTTTAATGTCTAATGATGAATAAAGCAGAGAAAAAACGTTTACATAAAGATTTAGAGAGACTGTAGAACTGATGATGAAAACAATTTCAAAAGTTTAGCAGAAGGTTTGGCTTCTTACTGCCACAGGGCTGTATATTTTCATGTCTCAAAAAGGTATAGGTTTGTGGAAAATCGGCTATTAAGTTTAGGAAAATGGATCATTTTCTTCTCCTTCTCCCACTATGTAACAGAACGAAGGTTTAAAAATAAATCCTGCTGTTTCACATTAATTTATATTAGTTTTCCACAAACACCGATGTGACTCCTTGATTTTATTAGTTTGCACTTAAGCCTTTTGTTTTTTGACTTAATGGCTGTTTGCATAGTCACTGACATTTAATTAAAGGGACATTTTTACTCCCCGACTGTTCTCTGGAGATCTTGAATTAGCACTGTGGTCTTTAAACCGGTTCTTGAATCCAAGGAAACCATGAAAACCTTTTTTTTTCAGGAATATGTGCAAAAAATAAAATAAAAAATACATTCACAAATTATGTCTTAAAGAATCTGGATTTAGTATCAAAGGTAGTCCACTCTTTATGTGGCAAGTCTAAGGGTTCAGCAGTTTGAAAATGGGAGCTGATGAAGCATAAGTGTTCAAATATACCCAGTGACACAAAAAGGCTTAAAGGCAGGAAAGAGGATTCTGCGATGGACGACATGTCCGACGGCTGTATGTATATTTTTGTATGGTGCTCATGCGTCAGTGCCCCCTCCTTTTCAAAAGTTCTCTACGCTGGAAACGCTTCCACCGGTAATTTTGTATTTCGCCTAGAGCGGCAGCAGAGTACCAGGAGGCACCTTGCCAGCTGGAAATATCCATGAAAAGAAGAGATCTCTGCAAATTATATTTACAATTTGTTGGTTTGTTAACCCTGCTGCTGCTATTCAACTGTAAATGTTTCAAAACTGTAGAGTTAGACAACTTTTGTCATTTTGTATACACAGAGTGTATACGAAACTGTATTTCGTTATGTACAGCTCTCATGACATTTCCTTTAGTGAAAGTGCAGCAGTGATCAAATAATAATAAAAAGAGTATTAATAATTTAATATTAATAATAATAATTTTAAAAATACAGCACTTACTATAAAATTAAATGTAATTTACCTTTCCAGCAGCAGTTATGTGACCAAAGCATCCGTTTTCAGACCCTTTTGCTCCTTCAGGACACGCCATCACACTTAGCCGACTCCAATCTCTCCCACTTTCTCTCCTCTTTTCAATGGCATCGAAAAAAGGCTTTCTTTTCCGGGTAGGTTTGTCAGGATGCTTTTCGGCCATTGTACTCAAGTTTACACAAAAGAGTGAACAAATAGGCAGCGGCAGCAAACAAGCGTAGGAGTACCTCTTCATGCTTCGGCATAATGGCGGACCGCTAGCCAAACGGCATATGAGTTATGCTTGGTGGAACCCACGTAAATAACATCATGGCAAAATGTTTGATTGACAAACACGTAGCAAATCCACTTTTGACAGTAGGCAAACTAGATTTGCTTATGTTTTGTAGGTACCACCATGGCCAGCGTTTATAGGTTTTGATTTCTTTTTACCATAAGTGCAACAATGCCACCCATCAATTAAATCGTTTTAGATGAATCTGAACACAACTTCTAAGAAAAATCCTCTTTCATACCTTTAAAGGCTTTGTTTGTAAAAGCTAAAAGAACAACAGAAGATTTTTCAATTGCCTTCAGATGCACTAACTCAGTTTTATATGTATTATGGAAGAAAAAAAGGTGAAGAAAATAAAGGAAAACCAAAAAACCATTGGAACTACATGAGGAGGGCATGAAGGGGAGGAGATGCTAACGGGGATGTGTTCTGTGTTTTCCCTCATAAATACCTCCCAAAAAATGTTCTGCTTCTAGCTTTAGCATGATTGTTCATCATCTGACTTTTCATGTTCTCCTGCCATCCATAAGGAGAGTTGATACTGAGCTTCTTCCTGCAGGTGTGCCTGGTGGGAACGTCCAGGAGCTACAAGCAGGCCGACGAGGCCGATTTAGAGCAGAGGAGGGCTTGTTACATTCAGGGTCGCAAGGCCTCCTACGGGGCAACAGTTCAAGGGTCGGGTGTCAGAAACGTTAAGGATTGTTGCCATGGGAACACAAAGTGTGACGGGATGTCAGAGAGCAGGTGGGAAGATGGCTTCCAGCCGAGGAACGCTGTGGAAACGGTTCGAAACTGCGCTGCTCTGCCGCGAGACTTTGTGGACGGAGTCGTCCTGAAGGTTGCTTCTACCCTACTGGAAATGTCGGAGGAGGAGTCCCTCGGTGACTGGAATAAAGGAGGTAAACCAAAAACACAACAAAGTCGTCCTCTAGCGTTGGACTGGAGGATCTAGTCAAAATTTGAAATGCTGTAATTGTGTAAGAAGCTTAAAAAAAACAACAAAAAAGCAACACATCTTTGTTATATTTTGTTTCCTGAGTCAAACAAGGTGGAGGATTTTGATTGGTTGTTTTAAAACCACTAAATAAACCAAATAACATGTTTTAGTCTTCATGTGAAGCAAAACTTGATGTTTTGTTTATGCTGCCAAAGTTTTGAAGTCTCTTTCTGATCAGTCAGCTCTGTTGTTCTCCTGTATGTCAGAATAAAATCCCAAAGTTTTGAAGTCTCTTTCTGATCAGTCAACTCTGTTGTTCTCCTGTATGTCAGAATAAAATCCCACATACTGCTACCTCAAGCGCCCCCTACTCCCACCCCCCTCATGCTGTGACACGAGGCAGCTCTGCTTTCAACTCTTTATCTCTCCTTCTGCCCCTTCCTGCATCTCACGCTTGAAATGCAGAAAGTTCTACCTCACGCCACCCACACATCGCGGAAAATTCTGTCAGTAATTGTAAAAATTAGCGGTGCTGAATATAAGATGGAAAAGGAATAAAACGAGGGCTGGATGAATAATGCACTGTCATCCATGATTTATGCATGAGCATGCATTTGTACTGAGGTACTCCACCAGTTCTCTGCTGTGTAAGAACAAAGACTAAATTCAGCACAAACCAGGCTTTAGTCAGCGTGCTTAGAGTTGACAGTAGGCCTTCAGGGTTTGGTTTCTTTTTGTGTTCCTAAGCATCGTGAAACAAATGTGTGCATTTTTAATATTTCCACTGAGTCCTTTCTCACGTTTCCAGTGATTGTTTGCTGCAAAATAATTGTGTTGTTGTTTATTTCACCAGTAAGGTATAAAAACAGAAAATAACTCACAAAGCAGACCTTGTAAGAGTCCCTCGTCGCTGCTTCAGTCGTTCAGTGGTGTTTCTTGCCTGTGCCAACCTCACTTGAAAGCCACTGCAGGGCTATTAAAAGCCCCCACACAGGTTTTTTTTTAAGTGATTTCATTTTTCTTGGTTCAGACCAGTGGCCAATAGAGGCCAAAAGAGGGCGCTAGTGCGCCGCCCCACCCGCCCAATGACCCGGATTCAGACATATAAAAAAAAAGAAAGAAATTTTGTTATTTAATCTCAAATTTAAAATATTTTGAAAGTTATTAATATATATTTGTTAGATGTGCAAGATAAATATTTAATCTTTAATAACTAGTAAAGCGTCATTCCATTTTTTGTCGGATTGGTCATGTGTTTCCGCCTTAGGGCGCAAAAATGTTTACCTCTTGACTCTCGTTAAAAGTTGTACATGCTCAGTAGCTCCTCTGCAATACAATGGTATAACAGGAAGTGTATTTGCACACCACCGCACAGACGTTTTGCGTGTGACGGACAGGTCGAGTCGTGGGAGTAAGAGACACATTGGAGAGAGAGAGAGAAATGTAACAAGAAATGTCCTTTTCCAGGACATGTTTTAGTTACAAGGCTTGGCTAACTGCATGTAGCGAGGCTAACACTTTATTCTGCTTTCCCCGTATAATTTTTATAAACTTCAGGATTTGACCCAGCATGAATAAAGACAGGTAGGGCTGATTTAAAGCACATTTTAGAAAAGGCAAAGAAGAATGAACAATCTGGGACTGGACAATGATATGATATAGTGTACTTTTTCTAGGTGATGTTATATTAAAAAGTTGTTCTTAAACACATTCTCAGAAAATAAATAATTTGTATATATTAAAACAATATAAAGCTGACTAATAGCTTCTCCATTATTAAACTAGTAATTTTTTTTAGGTGTATGAAACCATATTGGACATGCAAAACACAGATTTGCCTTCACAAAGCCTCAGAACGGCAAGATTTATGTACAAAAAGTAAACCTGTACATGAAATTATGTTGTGTTTTTATAATGTTTTTTGCTGTTGGCACTCATATAAATATACTGGTGTGATATATGTTTGATTGGTTTTTGGTATACGTCAATTCTTCCTGGAGAAAACTCAACTAGCCGCCACTGGTTCAAACTATCATAATTTTAAGGTCTGAATAGTTCAGAGAACAGAAAAAAAAATGGATTATTAACGCTGCTTGTCCTGATTTTATCTCCTTAAGGTTTTTAACTACTGTTGATTGATGGAGCAATGGAAAGTAAAGACTAATTCCCAGTTTGTGTTACCCAAACGACCATGTCTGCCCTGCTAACAGCTACCTGGCCTAGCCAGCTGTCAGCTGACTGAGTTTTTCTGCATAATTTCAGGCTTGACCTGCCCTCTAAAATTAGTAAAATTACTGGTAAAGTGTGTGGAACTTCATAAATGTAGTCATTAAACTGCATTAAATGCACCTGATTTGACGAGTCTGTTGATCCTTAATCAGCTACTTATTCTGATCTGGAGCTGCTGATTGGCCAACATACTTTTTTTGGTTTTTGATTGACATTGGCCAGACAAGATCAACAGACTCGTCAAATCAGGTGCATTTAATGCAGTTTAATGACTACATTTATGAAGTAACAAAAGTAATGTGTTTCATCTAGTGCTGCAACTAACTATTATTTTGCAATCGATTAATCTGTTGATTATTTTTTCGATTAATTAATTAATAATTGAATGGCCAAAGGTTCCTTAAAAGAACTCTTTTTATGAGTTTAAACCAGACCAAACTACAACTTTTGCAGTTGAGGAATTCTGGATAGAGCATATTGACAGATGAAAATGCTTTTTTTTAAATCTTAAATATTTATAAATTTGTTTTACAATTTTGATATAACTGCTCCTCAAGGTTTGGTTGATCTGTCAACTAAAAGGCATATTTTACAGTCTCTAAACTCCAGTTAACGATTAATCGATTACTAAATTAATTGATGATTATTTAAATAAGTGATTATTCACGATTAATCCGAGTGTTTCAATCCTAGTTTCAACATCAGTTAATGCAATGCGTGACTTTTAGATTAAATTAATCCCAATGAGAGACCTGTTTCAGAGAGCAGCAGCCACCACTGCTCTGAACCCAGCAGTTAGATCATGCATATTGACATGTATTCATGCTGAGAATGAGGGCTGTACATTGAACATGTTGTTCTCTCTGCGACTCTGAGCGTCTCCTTGGAAAGCTTTCATAAATACATTTACAGAAACTGCCTCAACGAGTGGGTGTTTAACTAGCAAACACCTTAAATTACTTTAATTTTTTTCTATCCACTGTGCACCACACGAGTTGTTGAACGCTTTGTGCTTTTCTTTGTTTTGTTTTTTTCACAATATGTGATAGTATTGGCTTTAAGAGCTGGTTCGGGGGTTGTGGGAATGAAAGCTGCATAGAATTTATAAATTGAAAGCAGGAACCTGCTTTTCTAAAGCCTTTTGTTGTCAACGTTAAGTGGAGTGATCCTCTTTTAGGGGCCAGTAAAGGTATATGTGGAGAGGGAATGCAAATGACATATGTCAAAAGATTTAGGCGACTCATTGACATTCTAGAAGGGAATGTTACCTGATTGACCTGTGAATCAAGTGTGAAGAGCATCGATGGCTTTGGCTCTCAGGAAGACAAGATGGCTCCTATATTTGCAAATGCTGCAATCAAGCATCCTTTGCCTGCAACACATCTCTGATTGCAATCAGAATCGGAGGATTTAGCCCCATCGCAAAAACAATAACAGAGCTATGAATCCGAAAAATCAAACCATGATTTTCAATTGTTTTCCTTAAACGTAGAGAAAATGCAAAGGGGCCCACACATTCCTATTGGATGGTGCTTAATTAGCTGGTGTCCATCTGGATTCTATCCAGACTTTTTTGAACAATAAAATGTTCAGCACACAGCACCAAAAGAGAAATTAGTCATGTTACATTGAAAGTAGATAACAAAAGATTAAATCTGTCAAATTTCAAGCTGCAAAGCTCTAACCTTAAAAAATGTAACCCTTACCATACCTCTGACCTTAAATGTGAGCTGCAGTTATAAGAGTTGGGGCTCCTTTTGGAAAAAGTACTAGATTAAGACTATGGCCCAATAAGCTTGCCACTCTGCTAAGCTCTTAAATTGGTTTGTGTCACTTTATTAGCACCCTTAGGTTTGTCTCATTTGCACTGGTGTCTCTCAATTTGCTTTTGACAGTACTCCTCAGATTCTCTGGCTTTAGGTCAACTCAGCTTGCTGTTTAATTAGATACCGTGATATCATGATATCAATTAAGACAGTGGCAGCAATCTTATGTGAAGAGCACGAGTAAAAATAAAATCTGTATCTTCATAGAGGTTTTAATCAGACTAAAGTATGAAGTCCCTTAAAATTTCCTGACAGACTTTTGCATTTTGGACAAAGTGCAGTAATGGCGGAAAATCCAACAACCAGGATGCTGTTCTTCTCTAGTTTTCTGCTTTATTGCAACTTATTGCAAAATTAGCTTTCATCTGGTTCAAAGTTTTCTATCTAAGAAAAACCAGCAGATTGCATCAACTCATTGACTTGAAGGCAATCCCCCAACAGTGGAGAGGAAACAATCGCTACGGCAAAAACAAGGAAGTGAGTGACCGAAGCTGACTTAGGACCAAGGAGATAGAAGTAGACATACAGAAAGAAGTAGAGATACAAAAGGTAACTGTGTCAATCATCTCCCCAGATGGCCATTCCCATGAAAGACACAGCCAGGCAGACAAGCTCCATGTTAGCTCCCATGTCAGAGAATGAAAGAGAGAGAGCACATAGAGTTAGTCACAGTCAGAGAACCAAGACTACACTGAAAAACAGGCTAAGCTCCAACATCTATAAACAAAGGTGTTGATGGCAGCAGCACAGCTGATATTTCTCTCCAGGATGGAGTCACAGCCAAACAGGAACAGACCAGATGAAGCTACTATGAGAAAAAGCAGAGAGAGCAGAACGTTAGAGATTGAACTAACAAATTCTGCAGAATGAGAGAATAGAGACAGAATAAAGAAGAATGATAAAAAGTGGTCCCTATGTCCCCCAGCAGTCTAAGCCTATAGCAGCATAACTATAAAGATAGCTAAGGACAACCTGAGCCACTCTGAGCAAATTAGATTACAGTTTGAATGTTAGAATAAAGAAACTTTCTACTGCATGATTTATTTGATGTTCTTCACCCCTTTGCCAACTCAGGTTGCCTTTCAAACAATAACTGTTAGTGAGAATTTTGTGTGCCATATCGACATTTTCTGCTTTCTATACGGTTATTCCTACCTTGTTCTGCTCTCCAAAATGGAAATATTAGAACCTTTTAATTTGTCATGGTTAAAAACAATGCAGGTGGTTATCAGTCTTTTCTCAGTCTCTTTTTCATGATGTTATTCATTTGTTTTGATTTTCAGCAGACATTAAAGCAAAGCTCCTTTTGAATAACTTACCACAGCCGGTTAATATATGTTTAGCACTCATTAGGATGCGTGATCTTTATAAGCAACAAAACAAATTGGTCCACAATGCGAATGCAAGCATTTCTAGGCTACCTTTTCCTCCAGGGAGATGGGATCTTAAACAAGTCCAAACCAGCCATTAATAATAGTCTGCACCTGTTCTCAGTCCGAGCCAAAACCAATGTGTCGATACTGTCCCCATCCCATTAATCCCCATTAGGATCACTGACAGTAAAGGCCAACTCTAAGCAGTGTATTGATATTATATTAAACCTGTAGCCCTGTGGTGTCTGAACTGCAGGACACTTCTACTGAGCTGACCTCGTTGACCATCTCAGGGATTATTTGACCTACTAAATTTACATCTGTTTTAATAGAAAACATATTTGCTTGCTACAAAATAAATCTTATTTCTATATGCAAATCCTCCTTCCTGCAGATTTATTGTGGATTTTTAGGATTTTGTAGGTTCTGCAATTTTTTTGGTTTGTTTAAGGCACTGCCATGGATTTAGTGACGAAGATCTGATTGACTTGTCTCCAGATTAAGGTCAGCTATAGTTATAAAATTTAGTGGTGTGTGTGTGCTTCCCCAATATGTCAGAGAAAGAGTTGAGGGATTTTGATTTATTTAAACAAAAGGTCAGCTCTGATTCAATTCTCCTGGGGTGGAGAAAGGGCAGTGCCAAAAATACTAAATAAAACCTTCTTCTGATACAGAGCATAAGAGTGAAGCGCTCGTCTGCTTATAATCTGCTGAACTCGGAGCTTTCAGGGCTGTAATTCCTTTTTTTTTTTTTTTTGCTGTGCAGCTGTTAAGTTTGCCTCTCAGATGAGGAGGAATGAAAAACTATGACTTGTGCTCTGAAATGGCCTTTGGAAGAAGCGGCGATGGGATTCACGCTGGCGTCAGGGACATGTGTAACTAAAGCAGGCTTCACATGCCTGACAACCGTTAAAAAAAAGCGACAGAGATTTTTTCTCCCTCCATAAAGCGTTGATCACACCTTTCGTTAAGAGGATCCTCAACAAAAGCTCAGCCGCTGTCAGAGCAGCAGGCGACATCGACTCGCCCAGCTGCTGCCTCAGCTTTGGAACAAAAATATTCCCTTACTTGTGTGAAGGAAGCTGTAAACATTTTCAAAAATGTCACATTGATAGACCTCCTCCTGTTTCTTTGTCTTCCCCCCAAAAATCCTTCAACCTTTTCTGTTTCGATCCTTCTCAGGTAGCCTGTCTTTGAGAGAGGTGGCTGCTTTATTGGAGCAGGAAACCCTGAAGCTCCTGAAGAAAGAGTGCGGAGGCCTCCAGACCCTGCTCAGGAACAACCACCAGGTCTTTAGAGGTGCGGTCGGCAAAAACGTTTAATTAGGAGGGCAAATATATCAGATTTGAAGAGCAGGAAAATCAGAAACGGACAAAAATCAATTCCTTGAGAAGGAACTTTTCTCTTTCAACTCCTTTCAGAATAAATTAGTGGCAATTTAAAGAAGCCACATGGTTAGAAATTGAAATTAAATTGCTTTGATAGAGGTATGTTAGACTTTGACAGATTTTATTGTCATTTTGTACACAGAGTGGATACAAAAAGAAAATTTTGTTCAGTACTTCAGCACTTTTATTCAAATCCTTATAGCCAAATGGTCACACAAATGTTGATCTTAAAAAATGTATAAAAAAAAACAGAATAAGTGACAGAGTTAAGAAAAAAAAATGCTGTACTGTACAGTGTTTCTACAATATATATATACTGTGCATCTGGAGAAGTAATCAATATACAGCTGTGGACATTTTTACAGTAATGGATATGTGATAGAATAGCAGCAACGTCAGAGATGTGCAAAACTGACAGCAGCAGGTTATTTAACTGATTAAGACATAAACTGTGCAGAAATCAGCATGAATGTAACAACTTATTGATGTTGGGAACAGTGAAAGGTATAAAGTCATTCAGATGCTAGGAGGAAGGATCTGTGATAACGCTCCCAGGTGCATTTAGGGTGCGGCAGTCTGTCAATGAAGGAGCTGTGCAGTTCAGCCAAAGCTTCATGCATGGGGTTGGAAACATTATCCAACAGAGATGTTTTTTTTAGTTTTAGAATAATAATAATTATTATTTTAATATTTCTGTCTTCCTGAACACCTGTGTGAAATAAATCGCTATGTTAATACTTTATGTTCCTGTAATTGTAGAGGAAAAATGTTTCTCTTGACCTATCTTGAGCCTGAACTCTTCTGATCCTCTGGATGCCGAAAGCAGACATTTTTTTTTGTTGCCTCTGGCAGTCCTGAGGGACCCTTGCACTCTTCGTGCCCTTTTCAGAAATGTTCTAAAGATATATTTTATTCCCTCTTTTTCCAGTGGAAGGAGGGACTGTCTACATCAGAGACTGGAGGGATAGGGCAGAGAGCCAGAGGAGGCCCGCCACATCCGGGGCTCTAAAAACTCGTCTTTGCTGGTTTCATGCCCATCACCCTCAGGGTTGTCCCCTGCAGGAACAAAACTGTAATTTCGCACATGGAGCTGATGACCTTCGACCTTCAACAAGGCCTCTTAAGAAACTGAAGACCTTTTGACTGGATCAGTATCTCCTAAATACCTTTAAACATGTTATTTTTCACATGAATTTGAAATAAATTTTGAATGATGTTTCAGTTAAAGACTAATTATTTTGGTGAGCTGGTACCCAGGAGACTCAAAGAAGCGAGCCACGTCTAATGGCTGAGTTTTGTTAATTACATAAAAAAAGGACTATGTAAGTTTCATTCTTCTGGTTTGTGGATTGCTTTCATTTCAGAAATCTTCGAAGTTTGCTTTCCTTTTTTCAAAGTAAAGATGCGGAATATGAGAACACAATATGCAGCTTTGTATTTGCTCAATAATTTTCAGCTCTACATATTTTCTTATCATTCCGCACACAAAGCGGTTTTTCCTGGTTTGTACATCGGCTTTTAAGCTTTAAAAGCCTTCTCATGGTTTGAGTTTCCATGTCCGGGCTTCACTTAGACTTTCTGTTCACCTCAGACGTGTACTTTGAGGTTCACAGACAGGGCGGCACATAAAGGCCATGCTGCATTTGAACAAAGTAAATGTTAGCGCCATGAATTATTTGTTGGCAGGAGCCGAGGGGTGAGCCGCGTGTCGTCCCCTCCTGACGGGTGCTCGCCGCCGGTTCTCTTTCTCTGTTCGGCTCAAATGTCAGCTAAAGTGTTAATATGCTCCCAGCGTCTGCAGCAGGGCAATGAGGAAAGCCACTTTGGGGGGGATGGGGGAATGTTTGCTTATGTGACAAAAAATATTCATACAACCAATGCATAGAGCCCCAAATGCTTCACTTCAACATGGGAGGTCCAGACTGAGAAAGATTAGTGTTTCTTTTTTATGTTTTACTTTGCCTCGCTGTATGCTCTATGTAGTTTTATGAGTTTACTCCAATCTGAAACAATAAACTGAAAGTACGGTAATAGAAAAATAAATCCAATTTCCTGAAAATTTTTTTGATTTCAGTCAAGTTCATAGCAAAATGATTATTAGGATTCCATAAAACATATTCTAGGTCAGAAAAAAAGTGTTTTGTCTATTTTTTTAGGCCAAGCCTAAGTTTATTAACTTGATTGGCTTTAGCTAGAATAATAAAAATATTTATTCTTCTACCAAGATTTATTTGCTGGATTTGAAATCATCTGAAATATTTAAAGGAGAAGTCCGGTCATATTCAGAATTCAAAATTCTGAAATTATTACATACTGTTCAATAAATGATAAGTGTTTTTAATTAACAATAATTTTCATTGGAATTTGCTTTACTGGCAAAGAATACTACTGCCACCTGCTGGTTTGTGACGTCACGGTGCGGTATCGGCTGTTGAGCAAGTCACCTGTTGTCCAAGTATTGATGATAGATTTTCTGTAATCTTTACCTATTTGTACATACATGATCTAACCTTAATCAAAAATAAAGCGTTTTTACTGTTTTGTTACCAGCATCTTTCATTACATTCACAGTTGTATTTGGTCCCTAATTGGCTGCTTAAATTATGCCATAACTATCTTTTATGAAAGAAATCAATCATGGAAATATTCTCTCTGCTCAAGGCTTGCAAAGGTCAAACAGGCCAATCGACCCAGTGTTCCAGATTTATCCACAGAAGGATCTGACGTAGCCGAAGAGCAGAGGTGATTTGGTTATTTTCCGCCAGCCATCTCTGATTTATGTGACTCTAAATGTGCCTGATTCTGCTTGCCAGATTAAAAACAGACCCACCCACTCTTTATTCCCACATGGGGAGTCTCCCTGCTCTGCATGTAAACAAATCACTTGAGATCTGCGGCTCACCCATCTGAAGAATGCTGCTCGGTGCCAAAAACAACAGAAAAAAAAATAGTTTCCCAGTACATTATGAACTATTTCATTTGCCAACACCTACAGCTGCAAAGATCATCGAAGAATTCAGTTTGATAATATATATAGGTTAGCTCTGTGAGAACAAAAAACATAATCTTCGTTTTAATACAAATAAAAGCTTATGCAGTTATTGCAATTTTGAAGAAGGGAAATATTTGCTGTATATTTCAGTTTCCGTCTGTTATCAGCTGCTGGTATTTTTTTAGCCGACAGTTTAAAGGTTTATTTCACATGCTTGTTTATTTCTGTTTGACCTAAAAGAGAATCGTGGGTTTTTTATGACCCTGGAAAAGAACTGAGAAACTCTCTGTCACTTTATTTTGGAAGGCAGTGAAGATGCTAGTATGAGAAGAGTACAAATGAGTTGTTGGTCAAAAGGAACAACTCGAGTCGCACTCATCACCCCCTGCTTCGCCTCCTCCAGCTCCTCTTGGAAATGCCTGATGCTCTACCAAGGCCAACCTAGATACATGGTCCCTCCATCATGTCCCGGGTCGATCCCTTGGCCTCAGTGGGAGGTTCCTGAAACACCTTCTGAGGGAGGCGTCACAGAGGCATCCGAAAAATATATGCACGCCATTTCAGCTGAGTCCTTTTAATGTGGAGAAGCAGCTCTACTCCAAGCCTCTCCCGAATGACCAAGCTTCTCATCCTATCTATAAGGGAGAGCCCAGCCATCCTGCTGAGTAAGCTCAGTTTATCCAGGATTCACGACCATAGGGAGGGTAGGAATAGACCAACTGCTAATTTGAGTGCTTAGCCTTTTCAGTAATTTCACTCTTCACTACTACAGACCGATGCAGCTTCTGCATTATAGCAGCAAAGATCCTTTTATCAATCAATCTCCCGCTCCATTCTCCCATCACTCTTGAAAAGGACCAAGAGATACTTGAACTCTACCTGATGTAGGAACTATCCTCCAACCTGAAGGGGACAAAGCCACCTTTTTTACTCAGGAACCATGGGCTCAGACTTTGAGGAACCGATTCATCCTGGTTACTTCACACTTGGCCGCGAACTGACCCACTGCTTGCCTTGGGTCTTGGCAGGAGGGAGCCAGTAGAGTCGCATCCTCTGCAAAAAGCAGGGACAAGATCTGCTGGTCTTCCTATCTCCAGCAGTCTATGGGCGAGAGGCAGGGTCAATCCTGAACAGGTTGCCAGTCCATCACAATCATCAATGTAAAAATCTATATTGACTTTATGCTGGTCAAACTCATACTCTATGTTTCCTCAAGTGTTTCTCAGGACTTAGTGATGAGCTGCAAGGCTTTATGCCTGGAAGTCCCTTTTATGGTTGTGTTATTACCCTAATCCTTAGCTCCCCTCTTCAGATTTATCTAACTAACTAAAATTTTAGTCAGATAAACATGCAGGTATTTTTAATTTTTTTTTTATTAACTTCAACCTAAACTTTTCAGGGGTATGATTTATACTTGGGTTCACTTTTGGTCATGTTGGTTCCACTGTAATTGGCACTACTGATTAAACTAATAAAAAGCCCTTAAAATTTCATTGCAATAATGTTTTTTAAATATTAACCTGTTAATATTCATTAAGGATTTATGACTAAGTCATTTGTGCAACTGTTTTAATATCTAACTTCCCTTCTGCTAGTATTTAAAATAGTGTAGCATAATGCAGTATTTTACAAGGTTAAAAAAAAATATGATCTTAGCTTTAAAATGTTTCTCAAGTGGTAACAACTACTTTGTGCCAGTTTTCTGAAATAACGTTCATAAGGAAAAGTAAGATTAAAAATAAGGAAGATGATGCCTGATAACTGATATTTGATCTTCAGGTACAATAATTAGGGTTTTGTTTTTTTCAAGATGAGCTTCTAATCAGAAATCTTGAATTGCAAGAAGATCAAACCTTTTTGATATTTTGGTCATGAGTGAATCGTGTGATGAAGCGGTGACATTACCAGACTGAGAACTCTTTCCTCTGAGAGTTTCACATCACGTATGCATGAAAAAAGACAAAACTAAACAATCTTCTGCTATGAGCTTCTATTTATTCTGATGCATGGTGGGATTGTTCTAGCCTCGAGAGACCATCCTGATCTCGCAACCTTTCAAGGTTTCACTCGCAGATCAGTCTGGAGACTCTCCGTTAAAGAAAATTTGGAGCCGTTCACCAAAC